AGCAGGCCCACCAGCATGGGCAGCGATGCTGAACCCACCCAGCAACACGGTGGGCGCACAGCAGCATGCTGAACCCACCCAGCAACACGGTGGGCGCACAGCAGCATGCTGAACCCACCCAGCAACACGGTGGGCGCACAGCAGCATGCTGAACCCACCCAGCAACACGGTGGGCGCACAGCAGCATGCTGAACCCACCCAGCAACACGGTGGGCGCACAGCAGCATGCTGAACCCACCCAGCAACACGGTGGGCGCACAGCAGCATGCTGAACCCACCCAGCAACACGGTGGGCGCACAGCAGCATGCTGAACCCACCCAGCAACACGGTGGGCGCACAGCAGCATGCTGAACCCACCCAGCAACACGGTGGGCGCACAGCAGCATGCTGAACCCACCCAGCAACACGGTGGGCGCACAGCAGCATGCTGAACCCACCCAGCAACACGGTGGGCGCACAGCAGCATGCTGAACCCACCCAGCAACACGGTGGGCGCACAGCAGCATGCTGAACCCACCCAGCAACACGGTGGCGCACAGCAGCATGCTGAACCCACCCAGCAACACGGTGGGCGCACAGCAGCATGCTGAACCCACCCAGCAACACGGTGGGCGCACAGCAGCATGCTGAACCCACCCAGCAACACGGTGGGCGCACAGCAGCATGCTGAACCCACCCAGCAACACGGTGGGCGCACAGCAGCATGCTGAACCCACCCAGCAACACGGTGGGCGCACAGCAGCATGCTGAACCCACCCAGCAACACGGTGGGCGCACAGCAGCATGCTGAACCCACCCAGCAACACGGTGGGCGCACAGCAGCATGCTGAACCCACCCAGCAAACACGGTGGGCGCACAGCAGCATGCTGAACCCACCCAGCAACACGGTGGGCGCACAGCAGCATGCTGAACCCACCCAGCAACACGGTGGGCGCACAGCAGCATGCTGAACCCACCCAGCAACACGGTGGGCGCACAGCAGCATGCTGAACCCACCCAGCAACACGGTGGGCGCACAGCAGCATGCTGAACCCACCCAGCAACACGGTGGGCGCACAGCAGCATGCTGAACCCACCCAGCAACACGGTGGGCGCACAGCAGCATGCTGAACCCACCCAGCAACACGGTGGGCGCACAGCAGCATGCTGAACCCACCCAGCAACACGGTGGGCGCACAGCAGCATGCTGAACCCACCCAGCAACACGGTGGGCGCACAGCAGCATGCTGAACCCACCAGCAACACGGTGGCGCACAGCAGCATGCTGAACCCACCCAGCAACACGGTGGGCGCACAGCAGCATGCTGAACCCACCCAGCAACACGGTGGGCGCACAGCAGCATGCTGAACCCACCCAGCAACACGGTGGGCGCACAGCAGCATGCTGAACCCACCCAGCAACACGGTGGGCGCACAGCAGCATGCTGAACCCACCCAGCAACACGGTGGGCGCACAGCAGCATGCTGAACCCACCCAGCAACACGGTGGGCGCACAGCAGCATGCTGAACCCACCCAGCAACACGGTGGGCGCACAGCAGCATGCTGAACCCACCCAGCAACACGGTGGGCGCACAGCAGCATGCTGAACCCACCCAGCAACACGGTGGGCGCACAGCAGCATGCTGAACCCACCCAGCAACACGGTGGGCGCACAGCAGCATGCTGAACCCACCCAGCAACACGGTGGGCGCACAGCAGCATGCTGAACCCACCCAGCAACACGGTGGGCGCACAGCAGCATGCTGAACCCACCCAGCAACACGGTGGGCGCACAGCAGCATGCTGAACCCACCCAGCAACACGGTGGGCGCACAGCAGCATGCTGAACCCACCCAGCAACACGGTGGGCGCACAGCAGCATGCTGAACCCACCCAGCAACACGGTGGGCGCACAGCAGCATGCTGAACCCACCCAGCAACACGGTGGGCGCACAGCAGCATGCTGAACCCACCCAGCAACACGGTGGGCGCACAGCAGCATGCTGAACCCACCCAGCAACACGGTGGGCGCACAGCAGCATGCTGAACCCACCCAGCAACACGGTGGGCGCACAGCAGCATGCTGAACCCACCCAGCAACACGGTGGGCGCACAGCAGCATGCTGAACCCACCCAGCAACACGGTGGGCGCACAGCAGCATGCTGAACCCACCCAGCAACACGGTGGGCGCACAGCAGCATGCTGAACCCACCCAGCAACACGGTGGGCGCACAGCAGCATGCTGAACCCACCCAGCAACACGGTGGGCGCACAGCAGCATGCTGAACCCACCCAGCAACACGGTGGGCGCACAGCAGCATGCTGAACCCACCCAGCAACACGGTGGGCGCACAGCAGCATGCTGAACCCACCCAGCAACACGGTGGGCGCACAGCAGCATGCTGAACCCACCCAGCAACACGGTGGGCGCACAGCAGCATGCTGAACCCACCCAGCAACACGGTGGGCGCACAGCAGCATGCTGAACCCACCCAGCAACACGGTGGGCGCACAGCAGCATGCTGAACCCACCCAGCAACACGGTGGGCGCACAGCAGCATGCTGAACCCACCCAGCAACACGGTGGGCGCACAGCAGCATGCTGAACCCACCCAGCAACACGGTGGGCGCACAGCAGCATGCTGAACCCACCCAGCAACACGGTGGGCGCACAGCAGCATGCTGAACCCACCCAGCAACACGGTGGGCGCACAGCAGCATGCTGAACCCACCCAGCAACACGGTGGGCGCACAGCAGCATGCTGAACCCACCCAGCAACACGGTGGGCGCACAGCAGCATGCTGAACCCACCCAGCAACACGGTGGGCGCACAGCAGCATGCTGAACCCACCCAGCAACACGGTGGGCGCACAGCAGCATGCTGAACCCACCCAGCAACACGGTGGGCGCACAGCAGCATGCTGAACCCACCCAGCAACACGGTGGGCGCACAGCAGCATGCTGAACCCACCCAGCAACACGGTGGGCGCACAGCAGCATGCTGAACCCACCCAGCAACACGGTGGGCGCACAGCAGCATGCTGAACCCACCCAGCAACACGGTGGGCGCACAGCAGCATGCTGAACCCACCCAGCAACACGGTGGGCGCACAGCAGCATGCTGAACCCACCCAGCAACACGGTGGGCGCACAGCAGCATGCTGAACCCACCCAGCAACACGGTGGGCGCACAGCAGCATGCTGAACCCACCCAGCAACACGGTGGGCGCACAGCAGCATGCTGAACCCACCCAGCAACACGGTGGGCGCACAGCAGCATGCTGAACCCACCCAGCAACACGGTGGGCGCACAGCAGCATGCTGAACCCACCCAGCAACACGGTGGGCGCACAGCAGCATGCTGAACCCACCCAGCAACACGGTGGGCGCACAGCAGCATGCTGAACCCACCCAGCAACACGGTGGGCGCACAGCAGCATGCTGAACCCACCCAGCAACACGGTGGGCGCACAGCAGCATGCTGAACCCACCCAGCAACACGGTGGGCGCACAGCAGCATGCTGAACCCACCCAGCAACACGGTGGGCGCACAGCAGCATGCTGAACCCACCCAGCAACACGGTGGGCGCACAGCAGCATGCTGAACCCACCCAGCAACACGGTGGGCGCACAGCAGCATGCTGAACCCACCCAGCAACACGGTGGGCGCACAGCAGCATGCTGAACCCACCCAGCAACACGGTGGGCGCACAGCAGCATGCTGAACCCACCCAGCAACACGGTGGGCGCACAGCAGCATGCTGAACCCACCCAGCAACACGGTGGGCGCACAGCAGCATGCTGAACCCACCCAGCAACACGGTGGGCGCACAGCAGCATGCTGAACCCACCCAGCAACACGGTGGGCGCACAGCAGCATGCTGAACCCACCCAGCAACACGGTGGGCGCACAGCAGCATGCTGAACCCACCCAGCAACACGGTGGGCGCACAGCAGCATGCTGAACCCACCCAGCAACACGGTGGGCGCACAGCAGCATGCTGAACCCACCCAGCAACACGGTGGGCGCACAGCAGCATGCTGAACCCACCCAGCAACACGGTGGGCGCACAGCAGCATGCTGAACCCACCCAGCAACACGGTGGGCGCACAGCAGCATGCTGAACCCACCCAGCAACACGGTGGGCGCACAGCAGCATGCTGAACCCACCCAGCAACACGGTGGGCGCACAGCAGCATGCTGAACCCACCCAGCAACACGGTGGGCGCACAGCAGCATGCTGAACCCACCCAGCAACACGGTGGGCGCACAGCAGCATGCTGAACCCACCCAGCAACACGGTGGGCGCACAGCAGCATGCTGAACCCACCCAGCAACACGGTGGGCGCACAGCAGCATGCTGAACCCACCCAGCAACACGGTGGGCGCACAGCAGCATGCTGAACCCACCCAGCAACACGGTGGGCGCACAGCAGCATGCTGAACCCACCCAGCAACACGGTGGGCGCACAGCAGCATGCTGAACCCACCCAGCAACACGGTGGGCGCACAGCAGCATGCTGAACCCACCCAGCAACACGGTGGGCGCACAGCAGCATGCTGAACCCACCCAGCAACACGGTGGGCGCACAGCAGCATGCTGAACCCACCCAGCAACACGGTGGGCGCACAGCAGCATGCTGAACCCACCCAGCAACACGGTGGGCGCACAGCAGCATGCTGAACCCACCCAGCAACACGGTGGGCGCACAGCAGCATGCTGAACCCACCCAGCAACACGGTGGGCGCACGCACAGCAGCATGCTGAACCCACCCAGCAACACGGTGGGCGCACAGCAGCATGCTGAACCCACCCAGCAACACGGTGGGCGCACAGCAGCATGCTGAACCCACCCAGCAACACGGTGGGCGCACAGCAGCATGCTGAACCCACCCAGCAACACGGTGGGCGCACAGCAGCATGGTGTGCAGAGCACCATCGCCACGCACCTACTGCCATGCCTATAAACACTTACTATCCCCCGAGCGCTCCTCCCGCGTGCCATGTGAGCAGAGCATGGACGCCGCAGGAGTGCAGGGCGCCATCATAACGCAACCCATCAACCACAAGTTCGACCACTCCTACGTCACCAAGTAACGCCTCTCGCCTCCTCCTCACTCCTCCTCTCTCCTCCTCACTCCTCCTCACTCCTTCTCACTGCTGCATACTTGTACCACGCCAGCCTGCACCATGCTTGCCATGCCATTGCTTCAGTTGGCATGAGGATTCTATCAGGCATCAACCATCCAAGTACCACTCATCGCTGCTCAATTGTGCTTCTATCGAACCCCACATCGTATAAGCATCCATCTGCAGTGATCTTCCCTTTTCCTCCCTGCCCCTCTCCCTCCTCCTCCTCCCCCTTTCCCTGCCCCTCCCCTTCCGCCAAGCCCACTCCCCCTCCCATTCCCTCCTCTGCAACTCCCATCCCCTCCCTCTTTCCTTGCGCCCTCCCCCCCTTTTCCCTCCTCCCCGCCCCCCACCCCCAGCGCTCTGCGCCAGCACCCCGCGCGCTTCATCGGCAGCTGCCTGGCGGACCCCACCCAGGGGGGAGGGGGGGTGGGGGAGATGGAGAGACTCGTGCTAGAGGTGAGGAGGGAGTGTTGTGGGGAAGGGGGGAGGATGTGGGTACTTGGGGGGGTGTGGATCGTGGATAGGGGTTGAAAGGTGGTTGATGGGTGCTGTGTGGATGGGATTGGATGAGGGAGCACCCGAAGTGAGAAAGTGACAGCATGGGTGCATCGCGTTGGCTGGCAGCATGGGTGCATCGCGTTGGCTGGCAGCATGGGTGCACTGCGTTGGCTGGCAGCATGGGTGCGCGTGTCAGTGCACGTGGGGGAGTGGAGACGAGTGAAGAAAGCATAGAGAAGAGGGGAAGGGTTTCTTTTGCCTTTCACCCGTGCCACCGCTTGCCATGCCACCATCACGCTGCTGCTGTTGCTCGCCCGCGCCATTCTTTCTGTGATTTCTACAGCATTGCAGCTATCAGTTTGCTATGCCAGCACCGTTATCTTGTTGCTCCCAACTCGCTTGCTGTGCCTGCCATGCCACCATTGGCATCACAGGAAGGGTACCAGTGCGTCCGCTTCAACCCATACCTCTGGCCCGATGGCGAGAAGGTGTGTGCTCTATCCCAAGCGGTCCTTTGTATCCCACCCTATCGCCACCCCAAGTATAACTCTTTGTGACGCTATCGCCCTTGTGCACATCTCCTCTCACTTCTCTCCTTTCTCCCAGTCCCAAGCCTCCACCACCACCCCCCTTGAGCCTGCACCCTGTCCTCCCTCCCTGCTCCCTGCTCCCTGCTCCCTGCTCCCTGCTCCCTGCTCCCTGCTCCCTGCCCCCTGCTCCTGTGACCATCCCCCCCTTCTCCCTGCACACGCCTCCCTGCCAGATGACCAACGGCTTGGGGCAGGCCATGTTCGCCCGGGCAGGGGAGCTAGGCGTGCCCGTGGCCTTCATGTGCTTCAAGGTGAGGGCGAGAGGGGGATGGGGAGGGGGAAGGGGGGGTGGATGGGGGGGTTGGGAATGGGGAGAGGAGAGCATGGTGGGAGAGGAGTGGAAGGTGTTTCCTTATTCCCGTTCGGTGTACTCATCAGTGTCACTGCTTCATCTTACCCTTCCCTCCCTTCCAGAATCACGCTTCTTCAACACATTACCTCTCTCGCCCATCCCCCTTGGCTCTCCCATTTAGATCGCTCCCAATCCCTCTCCCTACCTCCTCTTTCCCCGCGCACCCCCCACCTGCCATCACCGAGTCACCCGGTCCACTCCTTCCACCGGCATGTGGATGAGACCCTGAGCAGCGTGTGCTTCTTCTTAGGCGCCTGAATACAGACGAGAACGAATAGCTGTGCTTGTGAGTCGACTTTGAAAGCTCTCCGCACGCCCCCCACCTGCCATGGCCGCCCCCCGCAGGGCTTCCACCTGCACGCGGAGGAGATCGAGCAGCTGTGTGCAGCGCACCCCGCCACACGCGTCATTCTCGACCACTTTGGCTTCTGCCACAACCCCAACCACCCCGATGCCACGTGAGGCGCCCTCCGCCCCGTCCTCTCTCCCACTTTCTCTTTCCCCTGTTCCGACTTCTTCGTTTCCTCTCCCTCTCCATCTCCTTGTTTTCTCCTTCTCCATCTCTCTTTTCTCTCCCTCTCCATCTCTTTGTTCTCTCCCTCTCCTCTACTGCACTCTCCCTCTCTGCACGCCCCACCATCAGACCTGCCGATCTCACCACATGGGATCGCCTGCTCTCTCTCGCTCGCTTCCCCCAGGTGCCTCCCCTGCCCCCGCCACCATCAACTATCCCAAATTGTTAAAACCACTCCTCTATTGTCATAGCACATATGTCAGTCTAGTGGTGGTTGAAAAATCTCATCGTGTTATTCCAGTATCCAATCAACTCTTCTGAATCACCTACCTGTTTCCACCACAATTTCCATCCCTCCTCTTGCTGTTTTCCTTTCCCAACCCGTCTCTTGCCTCTTTGTCACAGGTTTATGTCAAGACCTCTGCACATTTCCGAGTGTCGCGACAACCGTACCCCTACTCTGACACGTGGGAACAAGCGAGGGATTTTATCAGGACCTTTGGAGCACACAGGCTGCTATGGGGAAGGTATTCTCTTTGTTCTCTGCATGTCTGAGTGTCAGAATGTTCGTTCCGCTCTATATCCATCCATTTGTTTACTGTGTATTGGATTATTTTTGTCATCTTCCTGCAGTGACTTCCCATTTGTGGTAAACGAGTGTGGTTACAAGGAGATCTGGGATCTCCTTCGATCAGACACGACTGGACTGTCCAAGGATGAGCGCTTGTGGATTCAAGGAGCCACAGCTGCTTCGTTATTTCCAAGTGCATGGAAATCTTGACGTTGACAGTGTAGCCTTATTTGGTGACAATACTTTCATGTTGCTGATGGATAACGCTTTCCTCTTAACAATGACTTTTTACCATGAAGGGTATGGCTGGAATTTCCCGCCATGCGATGAAACGCGCGGAGGCCGCACGGGTGGTGGATGCGAAACGATTTCATGATGATGGGATTGGTTGATGCCGTGATGCCGTGAGACGAATTTTTCTGGGGAGCTTTTCGCGATTGAACTCCCGTCACTGTTTATCACAATGGAGGTGGGCCTCCATCTGGTCTGGACCAGATATTCGTTTTGAGCAACGGATGGATCGTGGGGGTACCCTTCGGATGTTTCGCTGAAGCATGGATGCGTCGCACGGGCAGCCCCCACTGACATGAAATGTTGGTCATGCATGCCGGGTGCAGACCCAACAACGAAAGCGGGCAAAAAAACCCTCCTTGGAGAGTGATGGTTGAGGCTTTTCACCGTCATGCATTCACGGGGTGTTCGGGTCAAGGAGCGAACCGCTGCCAAAACATTTTGCGATGCGCAGGGGCGAAATGGGCAAATCCTGGGGACAAGCCGTCACTGGCATGCGCGTCGCGGTCTACCCGTTGCGACTCGGCGACTGCATGCGAAGCCCCTTGTCTTCAATTTCCATCTCACACCTCGCTTCAACATTTCGCCTTCAAATTCCTCCATCAACCTCGCCACTTCCATGAATGAGGTGCACGCGCCTTGCATGCTCATTCCTTCACGTCCTTCCTCCTCCCCAGCCTTCACAACATCGAATTTGCTGCTGAGATCAGCCAACGTCTGAGCTTTTGAGAGGAAGGATCGAGAACGGACGAGGATCACCATCTAGTGGAGTATCACTTGCGGATCTGATGCTTCTGAGGGATCAACCCTGCTATCGCTGAGCGCGAATATTAACAAGAACGTACAAGGCTTCTTTTTTTCTTCTGCCGTATCGTCTCATCCCACGAGACTCCCACACGTCCTAATGGCTTTCCCTCGTTATAAAACGTGGGCTGCGTGCGTGCCACTAGTTGCCCTCCTCCTCGTCCTCGCCTCACTGCCCGCAACCTCCGCGCGCTCGCGAAAGTCCATCCCCCTTTCGCGGCAATCGTCGCCGTTCCTCAAGAACTTCCGGTGCGACTCGTTCGCCAACGGCAGCGAGTTCTGCCAGCTCGGTCAGGATGGCGCGCTCAACCTCCGAGCGTACTACAGCAAGATGGGATGTGAGTCTTCTTTTCTCCACTGTCTCTCCTGCATACTTTCCTCTCGTCCAATCCCATTCCTCACTGACCATCCCACCGGAATGCGGACCAAATATTCTGGTATTTCGCAATTCGTTTTTCACTCATCGACCAACGAACCATTGTGCCTCGTTAGTCCCCACACTGTATCGCTTCCACCCCGCGCGACCAATCTCACGTCCATATTCGTTCAAACCACTGCTCGCTCTTCTCCCCTCCCGTGCACCCTCCCGCCGTACCTCATCCGCGCCTCTTCTCCCCCGATTCCCCCCCCCTCTCCCCCTCTTCCCCCCCCCCCCCCTCTTCCCCCCCCCCGCAGCCTTCACGTCGCGCAATTTCTACAAGTACGGCATGTTCAGCGTGCGCATGAAGTTCCCTCCTGGCTACTCGGGCGGCATCATTCCCTGCATGTACTTAATCTCCGGCGGGAACAAGGGGTTCAAGGACGTGCACGACGAGATCGACTTCGAGTTCCTAGGCGGCCAGAACCCGCGCGAGATGATCATTCATACAAATCTGATTACTAACGGGTACAACAAGCTGGAGCAGTTTAAGTTCCCCTTCGACCCGTCCGCGGCCTACCACCGCTACAGCATTCTCTGGAGCCCGTCCGCGGTGACGTGGTTCGTCGATTCCATCCCCATCCGCATCGCCTACCGTCGAAACGGCCCTGCTTTTCCGTCCAAGCCGCTCAGAATTCGAGTGAGTGCCGACGGACGGCTATTGTGGGATGAGACGTGTAACCGACATCCGTCGCTCTGCTTCCCTCCACTCATCCATGTGACCTCAAACGCTCTGCCTCGCGCCAACTTCGTTTTCTTTCCATGCTTGCCGCTGCTTTATCCTCGAGCAGGTCATCTCCTTTCATCCCAGTCCTTTCCCCTTCAACTTCCCTTCTATGTTGCCCCTCTTTCTCGCCTCGCTTCTCACATACTCCTTTCACACCTTCACGCTGGAAGTCCGTTCGCGAGACATCCGCCATCAACCTCATCTTCTCTGTCAATTGCCATTCCCAATCTCACCCCTTTTGGCTCCTTCCCGTTCCCGCCTTCGCTCGCCTCCTCCCCCGTTCGTCCTCAGGGCTCCATCTGGGACAGCTCGGAGTGGAGCGCGCTCAAGTCCAACTTCAACAATGGCCCCATCACCGTCAGCTTTAAGAACTTCAACATTCAGGGCTGCCGCGTCTCCAGCCGCCGCATCCCGAGCTGCGCCACGTACAAGGCGGGATGGCAGCCGTGGATGTACCGTATGAGCGGGCTGCAGAAGAAGCTGTACGTGTGGTTCCAGAAGTACCACGTGTACAAGAAATACTCTTGGGAGAAGACTGTGTAGACAAGCGCATGTGATGCACGATACCGAGGCACGGGGGAGAAGGGAGGGTAGGAAAAAAATTCACACGGCCATTACTCAGATGGTGCGATGAGCTAGAGTGGAGAATACGGTGCCCTCACGCCGCCTCCGCAACTTACATTGATAGGACAGGAATTTAGCGGTACTGATATCAAGTGTGCTGAACAGTGGCACCCGCAGCTGCTCAACCAGAAAGACCAGGGCATGCGCTGCCCTGCCTTTGGAGGAATGCAGCTCAGGCGTTCAACAGGCATGTAGGAGAACTGACCGAGCCTTCCGGTGCAGAATAAAGAGCCGGATACTAATATCAGTTTGTTGCTCGCCTGTCTTAATACAAGCAATTTTGGTTGCACATGCTGCCCAGGTGGATGCAGTTTGCAAGGCTCTCCAGGGAATAGGTGAAAACCCCTGCCACTCCTACCAGGGACGTCTGCTATCAGAAGTGTCCACTTCCAACGCGGAGCTGTTATGTGCAGACATACTAAATCACTCATGCTTTTGAGCATAACCATTATTTACCAATATGCAGATCCATCGCCAACCAGTAGTTTGGACTACACAATCGTCTCGGGGTCCCCGCTTACAGAACACGAGCATCACACACCCCCTCATCCCTCATCCATCACCACCGTTTACTGTAGAAATCCCCATTTCTTCCCTTGCCCTTCGCATGTAGCTTCGTGCCTGCATGCAGGGCAATGCATGGCGGCATGTACGGGTGTCCCTTCTACAAGAGAAAACGCACAATGCATCACACTTGCAGCTCAAACTTACCATTGAAAAAAGTTCCATAGCCGACCGCCCATGATGGCTCTTTCTCTCCTCATACAGCTGTCGTCGTTGGCCGTCCTGGACACCCTTTTCTTGAATCTACTCATAACACAACATGGGCAAGGGAGGTTGGGGTGGACTAGGGTGAACCAACCAAGATGGCAAGCAGCTACTGGTGAATGGATTCTGCAGACTGATGCTTACCTCTCTCTGGAGCTTCATTCTTCCCTCGAAAAAGGATGACTCCCCATGCAGCAGTTCCTTGTGCATAGCTTCCTTGTCTCTTTTAGCGAACTCCAGGGCAGTCTGCAGTTCCTCTAGCTGCTTGTTCCATGCCTCGTGTTTCTTTGCTCGAATGGCATCTGCGAAGGGATGAACGATCCATTTCAGCAGCTTGTCACGAAACTATATGACACTCCCATCCCAGCTCTCATGCACCTTCTAGGGGAATCCGTTCCGCCTTCCTTCTCAGAGTCTCCCTTCGTTGCTTCAGCTTCTCGATGGCATACCTCCTGGATTGGATATCCGATTTCAGGTTGCTACATCGATCAGCCTGGAGAGCACAAGAATGAGTATCACAGACACGGGACTAATGAGCAAGGTCGGGCAGAACTCACAAACACAACCGTAGCAACCATGCTCGTAACTCTTTCTTTGAAGAGAAATGAAGGACCACGTAACATTGGAAAAGGGTAGTGAATACATACAGCAATTACAGCCAGCTCCATTGTCTCGTCCCGACGCTTGATCGCCTCAAGGACCTGAGAGACGCAGGATGCGAATAGATTAAACACAGAGTTCGGGCCAAAACGTTGGGATGAACTTGAAAGAAACGTACGTTTTGCGACATCACCAATTTATGGCGAAAAATCACTGCATTTTCAGCTTCTTCCTTCTTCAATTCGGTTTGTTGCTCAATATCTTCTTCAACTCGTTTAAGCGCCGCCTGAAGTGGATTGATGCATTAGGACCTCATATCATACATGAACTGAAGAACATCATGCCCATACTCCGTTCTCACCTCCAACATCGTAGGGGACTGGGCAATCTGATGCTGAAGAACCTGTGCTTCTGCCTTGGCATTAACAGCCCTGCCCTTCTCTGCCAATATCTAAAGGAACACGGAAAAATAGAATCACGTGGAGAAATAATCCTTTGTACTCCTTCAACCACTCTACCATGCAAATACGAAGGGAACTCTTACCTCGGCATTCAGTTCCTTCAGCTGCTCCTGCTTGGTCGATACAGATTCCATAACTTTGTATTGCTGCTTGGTTGCTGCTTGGATCTTCTTTTGGAGAGCATCCATTTCCGCCTTAAAGCATTCTGCTTCGTTTTCATCTTCCTTATTCTGTTCATCCTGTGATGCAGTTTCCGTGTTCACCTGCAAGTCAGAGGGGTGTCAAGAAGTCAGTGGATGCTGGCTACGTCTACTTAAGATTGGACAAAGCCGCGCACAGCAGTAAGACTTAACCTCAGCTATTTTATCCTCAAGCCTCTGTTTAGTCTCCGTAATCTCGCGGTTCGCATAAACAGTTTCTTCCAGAGCACCCGAATACTGTTCACTGCGACGTAGAAGGAGAGAAGGTTAAGAGATCAGGGAGAAACATGTACAGATAGACTTTCTAGTGATGGATTGCTTGGAAGTCATTGAAATATTAAATTCCCCCATTCAGAAGCTTACATGAACATATAGAAGTTTGCAAAAGCGGAGAGCGCACGGATTGTTCGGCCTGAATTTGGCTTTAACAAGTCTCGCATTGTGAACCATGATGAATCCGCAGCTGACAGGATACGTGAAACTGATTGAAATAGACGGATGATTCCTATTGACTCGTGATACGTCTCTGGTGCGTCAGTGCATGATCTCGCAAACGCGTTGTCCACAAATTGGTTCCTGAGAGCAGAAAGGGAACATTAGTCAACCATCTCGGCGAAATTAGGATGGACATGATTTGCGCAGAACGTACCTCTTCCTTGGCAACGCGAAAGCGACAATCGCCTCATATGCTTGCCACATGACATCGGCCGTAGGTCGCAGAATGTCATCTTCGGTCAACTTGTGGATGCATTCAAATCTCTTCACTAGGTCCTTGGCGCTCAGAATGGGGAACAACGGAGCCATCCTTCGCAACCTCGGTTGGACCACCCTGAACTCGGTCACTCGACTTGGAAGCTGAACAATGGGAGATGAAACAGGTGAGAGGCGCTGAGATGACGGGGCCAGGGTAATCACACAGCCGAGTCGTGCATGGATGCAAGTCTTAGTTGTTGATAGCGCGGATGTCCGAACGTGAAATTTGAGACTCCATAGAGAGTGTCGCCGAAGGAGATGATAACGAAAACGATATATTGACAAGTTCGTGTACCGTATTCAGTACGCTCATTCCCTTTGGCCTCGCCCAGTGCACTTGATAAACCATAACAAATATATGTGGTTAGCTATTTGTATCACTTTATCACCATCCGCTACTCTTCCAAGAGATATTGTTTTAAGTCAACCACGTGTTTAAAGCCCGCGGCTAAAATAACAGACCTGGAAGCCACTTGAATTTGGTGCTTTGAAGTATAGAATGGAAGGCAGCTTTGAGTTCAAGCCTGAACAAGAGAAGTGCGTCGAAACGAATTATAGTCGAGCTTGCTGATTGGAGGAATGGCTAAAGAACTCATTTTGCTGTTTGTTGCGTGCGACTCGACCATTTCGATGCGATTTGCGCAAAAACACTGTGTGCATCGCAAGGAGTTTCTACGACGGGTTTGGACGAGAAGCTTGCGACGAGGAAATACAGGCGCATTATGACCAGGGAATTCAAGTGATTTCCAGGTCTGCAATTCCAGAATCAGCTACTGTTCGCCAAAAAGCACTGTTCTTTGTACTGTTCATGGAACCCTGAATTCGGTCGCACAGCGCGTATTGCACTGTTCATCGAATGATTTCGTGCAAAAATGTCGCCAGATCGCCACGGTCAGATTCCGCTTTGCAAAACGAAATGTTTTTATTCTGTTTCGTTAACTCTAAAAATCAAGTCATGTGCCAAGTTCATAAGGAAATTAAACAGCCCTCTTGATTGCCAGCTAACAGATACCTGGACTCAATGCTTAATGTTGAAGAACACAGTAGGGCTTCATACACAATCCTATCAGCCAACACACTCCCTAGATTCTCTACCGCTTCCTCACACTTGCCTTCCCATCGACTTATCTCTAGCAAACACACAACCCCACACACATCCCCACACACATGCAGTCACTCCCCTTCAGTGTCTCTGCACCAGGAAAGATACCTAACCCCCACAATCTGTACCTCCCAGGGACACGCCTCAGGCACCTCCCATAGCACCTCAACTCAACCCTGGAACTCCCCCAACGCTGCTCGCCCTCACAACCCAACCCTCACACCCCACCCACCCCCCTACTGCTTGCTGACTGCAACGGGCTCAGTCCATCCTGGTGCGCCTTCCAGCAGGTGTGCGTGCAGCCAGTGCCTTGTGGCGTGAAACGCATCCTCCGCATCCTCATCCTCCTCCATGCTCTTCGGCCTGTGCGCGAACGCATGGCCCCGCCCCGCATACACCCTCGTCACCACCTCCACCTCCTCCCCCACTCCTCCTCCCTTCACTCTCCTCGCCACCTCTTGCAGCGTCTCCATGGTGCAAAGCGAGTCGCTATCCCCCGCTACCAGAAGCAGCGGCACCCGGATGCTCCCAGCAACAGCAGGATCGAACCTGGTCCCGTAGAAGAACACCCCTGCGCTGAACAACTCCGCCGACAACCCCGCACTGTCACTCCCACTGCTGCCATCCCGAGCCAGAGCCTCAATCAGCCGGCCCCCACCATAGCAGAACCCGAGCAGGGCGACCCGCCCGTTGCCAGGGCTGACGGGCGTGGGGAGGGAAATGGAGGCGGCGAGGTGGCGAGCAGCGGTGTCGATGTCAGCGGATACCTGCGCGGAGTTGATTGCCTCGCGCCACGCCTCGTACTCCTCCTGTGGGCGGGAAGCGTCCCAGGGCTGCCCGCGGAAGAGGTCGGGCATGAGTACACTGTGGGGGGAAGGGGAAGGGGAAGTAGGGTGGGGAGGAGGGGGTGGAGGGGGGGAGGACAAGAGAAAGTTTCAGTGAATCGGTTGAGAGATGGAGCTTTAAGGAGCAGGGAGCTGGAACTGGAGTCTAGTTGACCAGGCATGAATTGCAAACCGAACTGGCCATGAGGCCTCGAGCTATATCTACATCTAAATTGTCAACAATCCATGATATCTCGTCGTGTCTCGATCTCAATGCGCTTCAGATCTAACAGCGTTAAAAACAAAAATTCACATCTCCCCCCGCCACTCTCCCGCACCTGTAGCCGAAGCACGCGAGTCGGTACGCGAACATTTTTGTGTCCTTGTCATCGATCCCCATCACATCAGACAGCAGCACCACGCCGCTCCCGTTCTTATTCTTAATCGGCGCCACCAGATGCGCGCGGAACCCCTCCCGATCCTCCGCCAGCCCGTGCGCCTCAGCCGCAATGGCGGCGGACGTGGTTGCACTCGCATCTGTGGGCCCCTCATCCCCCCCCAGCAGCAGGTCCCGCCCGTGCACGATCTCGCACTGCTCGTCGTCCGCCTCCGCGCTCACTGCCGCATCGTTCCCCGCGCCGACGCTTGCGCGCGGAGTGAGAGCGGGAACGCGCGGGCGCGCGGAGACGGTGGAGGATCGGGGGCGCGCGGAGTTTGTGAGAGACGTCGGGAGGTGGGAGACGGAGGCGAGAGACGAGGAGCGGACGGGGGACGCAGCGACTAGTTGGGGTTACAACGGATATCGGTGTTACAATCGGTGTTGCGGGTTGAAATGGGTGTCAGGAGTCGAAGAGCAGAGAGCAGGAGCGGCGCACAGGGCGTACGGGTGGAAGACGAAGGCGAGGACACGATGGAGCCGGGGGAGAGGAAAGGGCGGGAGAGAAGAAAATGAGTGACCAGATTCACGCGCTCATCGTGTTCACTCGGTTCCAGCATAACATAACCATCAGTGTTTCCTGTTATCAGGCGCCACGAATTGCTTGCAATGGCAGCCACTTGCTCAAGATAGATATGTGACACATTGAAGGAGAACGAACCGCAATTGTGACAAGACAGTGAGTTTCCTCAGCATTCTCAGAATCTTCCAAGAACTTCAAACACATTCGGCTATACATGACATTGCTTACCTGACAATAAAACGGAGCCTGAGCGAACAGATGAAATTCGTCCGTGGCTATGGGCGTCTCTGCCTTGCGTGGCCGACGGGCAAGCGACAGGACAAAGAGCCCGCGGGCAGACCGACGAGAGAACCATGGTACTGGTGGGTAGAGCAGCAGAGGAGAGCTACGGGATCTACGTGAAATTGAACTATTTCGAATTGAGAGTGATGACCAGAACAGAGGGCTTGTGGAGATTCAATTCAACAACGGGCAACCTCTTGGTGATGATGGCCGTAGGAAATATCAGGAGAGGAGAATGGAAGGATTGGGGGAGTGGAGAGGCGCACGGGAAGGGGGATGGAGTTGGGTGTAAGGGAGGGGGGAAAGCGGGCTGGGTGCTTCACCGCACCCCGCCGATTGCAGCAGCGATGCTTGGCGGCTGCGCTCGAAAAGTATATGCGGCAGAAGAGCTTGGCGCGCAGAGACTCCTTGAGTTTGGGCAGCTTGATCACGTGGATTCTAGTTTCTCTTTGTTGGCGAAAGGGGAGGAGTCAGCCTCGGAAACGAGTCAGCAGGTTAACATCAACTCCAGGTCAGCGACGCTTGTGCCACCGAGCCACCTGAACAGGGCTACGAGCTAGATTCATGGAGGAAAATATCTTGACTGAAGCATTTCAAGCACAGGGGCACAGGTTCGGAAGGAGAAATAGCTTCGGTCACTCGCACCTAGGCTTGGGTAGCTAATAAAGATTACGGGTACACCTGAAAACAAAGAAGTGAATATACACATACTGTAAGTATGACACATCCTTTAAAGCTGAACTGTTGAAATAGGCTTGAAGCTTGAAACCTACATGCGTTTCGGCAGCGAAACAGGAAGCTTGCAAGCGTCAATCAGCAGATTCATTACTCCATGCATTCAAAGCCTCCCTCCACAACCTATAGGCGCAAGCCACTATTCAATCGCAATATCCACTGGTTGGCTATCGTCGTCGTCATCTTCAATCACTATCTCGCCATCACCATCCTCATCCACCAATTCCTTGGAGGTGGGAGGGGCCACACCAGCAGCATCTGCTGTGCGCTTCACCCAGTCCCGCAGCGGCTCCTCGTTCAAGTCCAGCCGCAGAATGCCAGCCACCACACCTCCAAAAAAAGCAACCGGCTCCTTTGAAGGTGGAATTGGGGGTGGAAGGGTTTGTGTGGTATGTCAATTTTAGGACAAGGATATGCATTTGAGGTGTTAGGAGTGAAAGTGACGAAACGAGAGGTAGAAAAGGGGTGATAGGCAGAGGTGTGTGAGACGCCAGAGCTGCACATTGATAGTGTTCTCCCAGAATTACATACCCTAATGGGTCTAGATGGTGCTCAAATCAGGACAGGATACAAAGTTTACCAATTCAGTGCACAGAGAAAGGCCATGGGGAGAAAAAGTCAGCCCAGTTCAAGGAGCCTATGCCTATCCCCGGAAGAACCACTTCCCACCTTGATTGCGTTTGCGAGAATCTCGTCGCTCTTGGGGTCCAGCAGCGCCTGTGCTCCTGGCCGGGCAGAGCGGCACTCTTGCCTCTCCCCACGGTGAGGGGTACGCTGCTGACCAGAGGCACAGCGGGACACAGGGGGGACGGGAAACGGGTAACGGGGATCACCCAGGGATGAACGGGGTGAATACGGGTGGACAAGGAAAAGGGAGGAAGGTGGGTGGGGTCCGGTTGCAAGCACATAGATTGTCAACCAGAACAATCGTAACTCGATGAGAACAATACACGTCCACTAACCCTTTCCATCCATATAATTCTCTCTATACATAGATATACTATCCGTCGAACGCCCTGCCCTCGCAAATTACCAGTTGCAGAGGTATCGAACGCATATGGGAAGCTTCTCGAGAAGCCAGGGAGATCGTGCGAGAATTTCGCTCTCTAATCGTGCAGTGGTCTGCGACGATGCAAGATGCTAATGAACTTGGAGCCGCGAGGAGCCCAGAAACTCTTAGTGCTGCCATCGGTGTCCGACTTTTGGGTCGCAAGTGACGCTAGCGCAAAAACGTTATGGCCGACGACTGGCAGTTTCAAGTTTCAGGAACAGGGTACTAAAAAGAATCGCAATTCAGCAGCGCGTAGGCCCTGTAACCCGCGACTGGCTGCTATGAGAGGTAAGTAGGCCGTTGCCCCAGAGAAGTACCTGACCTGACCTGGCCTTACAATAACTGAGGCAACGTGGAAGGGTCCTAGTCGGGGGAGTCCTTCTGTAGTTGCACTCGGCGAGAAAAACTCGTTTGTTGTGTAGTAATAGTAACCGAAGTTAACACTTTTGACCAGGACTGGATATAAAAACAAAGCATTACAAAGTTTTCCACAAACCAAATTATAAAATTACATATCATCTTTCCGCGAAAACAATAGTGGCTCCAGAAGCAAATGGTTGTAAAGAATGTCAACCCAAGCGTCTGGAACTCCAGGCAAGCACCAATGCGTGCAATCACCATCAAACGGATTCAACCCCGTCGCAACTGGCGAACCAGGTCCTTCTGCTACCCTTGGCTCATACCAGACTCCCAAATGCCCATCCGGCCTACTTTGACTCAATCTTGTTACCTTCAGTAGTCTCATGATGGAGCCCTTCAGTGTAGCCCGTTGCATCGCATAAAACAACTCAGAGCTGCCGAAGTTGTATCTTTCCAAAAGCCCTGTTCGCTTCATAGGCGTGAGGGCACCACAAGAGCCGATTAAATGCGGCCCAGAAATCGTAGAAGGGGCTCCTCCTGGCTGTTGGAAATCGTGCCATGACCCGCCACGATAAGCCTCTGTAACCCAAGGTTGTGGCATGCCGTGTCCAGTGTGCCTCGGGGAGAAGGAAAGGAATAAAGGGACCCCTGGGAAGTTGGAAAATCTGAGGTGCCGGTTCACCGTTGCCAGGCCCCAGGAATAGGCTGCAAGGTTGGTGAGATTTCGGTGCTGCCCGCCTGCTCGGAAAGAGTTCGGCTGGCTTCTGCCGGGAACATTCTGGGACCACCAGATGCCAGAAGAGAACGCCACAACCTCGTAACGGGGGAGGATGGAGGCGATTGTGGGGTCTATTCTATCCACGTTGACAATGTAGCCATGGCCGCCACCGCGAGGGCTGTTGGTACGAGGGCGTTGTCTAGCGTGGACGAGGTAAGGGGAGAAGAGGAATTCGAGGGAGAAGGAGAAGCGGGGGAAGCGCACGGCCTTGATGTTGTAGGGCCCCCCTGTCTTGCGCACGAACCGCTGGAAGGGATGGTTGGGGGTGGAAAGATGGGGGGGGGGGTGAGAATACACAGAGTCGGCAATGTGAGCCGCAAAGAATAGAGGATGCTAGTGTGGTCGAGTGAGGAAACAGGCGGAATTGCATTGCGTAACAGAAATCAGAGTGGCAGCTGCTCTGGTGACTGCCCTGCCATGTCCGGACCTGCGATCCAGTACAGGAGTCCCCGGACCCGCCTTTGCCATTCACATCCCATTGGATCCTGCCATTCTACCGCTCTAATACTTAGCAACACACTCTTCAAAACCATGCTAAGCCCACAGAATCCCCCCCTTCTCCCCACCCCCCACACACTTCAAGACCCCCCCACCCCCGCCCGCCCTTCCCCCCTTCCCCTTCCCGCCGTGCTCTGCTGCGCGTGCCCACCTTGCCGTGGTACCCCGCAGCGTGGATGGCGCACAGCAGCGCCTCGAAGAGGTTCGCCATGATCGAGTCGCCCACCAGCAGCATGCGCTGCCGTGGCGAGGAGGGGAAACACAGAAGCGGAGGAGGGGAGGGAGGAGAGGTGGGGGCGGGGGGCGGGTGGGGGAGGGGGAGGGAGGGGGGAAGGAGGGGAGGTAAGTTGTATTTGTCTTGGTCTGCGTTGGGCGGGAGTCGATCTGAGAAACACACCTTCCAGCTTCGCGCAGGCTTCCCGATTCAGTGCTCACCTGAAGTCGGCCTTCTTACTTAAAAAAAGCCAGCTTACCCGCCGTCGCATGAGGTACTTGAACCCCGAGCCGCTGAAGTACGTCAGCCGGCACCCCTTGGCGTGCCAGCGGTACCGCTGGTAGCGCGAGTCGGGGCGGTTGTTGCGCTCGCACGCGTACAGCGGGCGCACGTACGGGCAGTGCCCCTTCTCTCCCGCGCGCGCCGTGTACCGGGGCACGCCCGCGTCCTTGGGAGCGCGCAGCCAGAACCCCACGGAGTAGTCGCACTTGCCTGCTCGTGTCGCATTGTTCGTCGAAAAAGGGGGGTAGGGGGTTAAGGGGGGGAAGGGGAGAAGGGGGGAAGGGGGGAAGGGGGGACAACAGGTGTCATGCCGTCCCTCGAGATAACGCTGGCCCGCTCTCGCGGTTGCGGACGGGAAGGGCTCGCCGCGAGCGGGAAGCGAGAAAAGGACTCACACGAAGGCAACGGGCGGGAGCAAGCGGCACTCACGAGGCCAGGGCTTGGGCGCGAGAGGCGAGGCGAGAGGCGCGCGAGAGAGGAGGAGAGCGGCGAGGAGGACGAGTGGGAGGAGGGATGCGACAGGACGGCTCCCACTCTGAGGTGTCGACGGCCGATTGTGTCGTGGCAGCAAGGCGCAAGGGCAGGTGGGGCGGAGCACGGAGCGGAGGAATTGGGGGAGAGAGCGGCGGGGGGATGGAGGAGGGAGTGGGCAAGTGGGAGACGAAGGCGAGGGTTGTAGGGGTGGACGGCGGAAGGGGGTGGTGGAAGAGAAGCGGTGTTGGGAAGGGCGTGCCAGGTCCGTTGCAGTGGTTGGCATGACTACCCTTCGTGCTCGGCTGGATTGAGGAGAAGATGGAAGGGGACAAAAGGTGAGGGGAAGCGATGGAGTTAAATGGAGGGGTTACTGTTGCTATTGCAGCAGGTGCCTGCACGCAGGATGCGGTGCTTCAGACAGGAGCGCGCTGCCGTCTAGAAAATAAAATAAGAAACAAGGCAGTTGAAAGATGTGGAAGCGTAGTAGGTATCGCTGCAGAAGAGGCAAACTATTACAGTATGCAGCAGGCGGGTTGCTGAAGGACGTACCGAAGAAGGCTAGTGCATTGCGGCGAGTCGCGGCTGCTATCTCACGCGCGGACTTGAGCCGAAAATAAAAAGCACGAGCTCTACGACGAGCGGCTGCTAGCTAGCGGAAAATGTTCCTGAGCCGTGATAAGCGATAAAACTCTGGTATTGCGACTCGTTAAGTTGTTTATCCCGTCTCGACTATATTTACGGCCGCACGCTACACCTGCTAGGACTAGCTCCGCGGGATTTTGGATGCAGCACAGTCAGCCACGGTGCATGGTGAGGTGTCGTCGTTTGTCTTGTCTGGAACCTACTAATGGGACTAAATGGGGTCAAGGCAGGAAGACGCGCAACAGGCAGGGGCCGAGTCACACTCAGCGCCCTCCTGCGATCGCCATTGAAGCTTTCTTTCACTGACTAACCACAGTGAGAGGTGCGCACGATAGCCAGGAATTTTGGCTGGACGGTTGGTGCAGTGGTGGTGTGGCGTGGTGGTTTGGGAGGGGAACTGGAGGAACACACAACATGTGATTCTGTTGGCCCTCGTGCACCACATGTTGCAAGCGAGCCGCATTTTGGTGACGATTCGAGGCGCGTGAAAATACCTCCGCACGGCGACTCGATTCCAGGCACTCTCCAGAGCAGGCCTTGGGAGCGGTGGGCTTTCGTGCAGGCCGTACCTGCCCCGATTATTTGGCATACTGCACTGTTGCTAAACAAACTCCTTCAGGTTGCCGCTAAACAAACTCAAAATGCAAATATCATTCATGTAGAAATGAAACGATATTGGTAGGGGGACATATCAAAATACAAAAACCAAAGAAGACCATGTAGAAGTAATAACAGCGCAACCATGCAGAACAAGGTATTAGGTAAATAACTGGTCAGTTCCTGGAGAGGCTACTGAACAACCATTATATAAAAATTGGCACGTATACCATACAGCTAGCAAAGGCAGGAGTTACTGCGCTTGCTTCTGCTTCATCTCCTCCATCATGCGGTGCCGAGTTACTGCTATGTTGTGTTCCAACATGATTTTCTCCACCTGGAAGAGAGTGTTGGGATTATGATGGGTGAACCATAGGTACTACCAAAGCAGGGACATGACTGGATTAGTGCTTATGGTGATTTGGCAACGACACCTGCCGATGGACAGAATCAGACGGACTCAGACTCGCAATAAGCAGACTGAGGATCAAGGCATTGCGCGGTGCGGTGACAGAAGGGGGAAACGGTGACAAACCCGCGAAACGGCGACAACGTCACGGCTCAAGACAACGAAGGTCCTTCACTCCCGTTTTCCAGTTGGTATCTTAAGCCATTCACCGAACGCAAATGACGCCTTCTAGTTGCGCCGCGACTATCGGGACACGAAGCCCAAAAAGTTCCTTGATAATGGTAAGCAGTCCACGTTCTCAAAACTACTCCGACTTTCCCAGTAACGCCTACCTTAGACTCGTGTCGCTCCGCCATCCATTTAAAGACGTGGTCGCTGGACTGCACAGCGACGAACGTCGCGGCGCAGAGAGCGGCGAAGGTAAAGATCCGCATTGCCAATCGCCTTGACGCTCTCTGACAGGTAGCTGTTGCTGGTGCAGCACAGGCGAAGTGAAGGGAGTGACACGAGATCAGACGGGGTGAGGGATGATCTCGTAGGATTTGAGAAGCAGTCTAGGGTAGAGGTGTGGATGGAGGGTGTGGTGTGACTAGGTAATTTACCACACAGTCCCTATGGAGCCAACAACCACCGCCCAACTTCATGTGCAGTGACAATGCCAACACGCAATTAGAAGATGTCAGTAACGAGGAAGGAAAATCGCGAAACCGAATGTGGTTGGTGTAGCGAGAAGTGGACGTTCAGGCGAACACGGATACCAGGCTGGTGTTGCGGATGTTGATGTTCAATTATGGCTTTCGCCTACTACTAGTTCATGTAATTATGCATGTAGGCAATATTTCAACAATCACTAGAGCTTAGCGGCAGCACATATATTTACTACCCCATTGCATATGAAAAAAAGGGCGTCTAGACAGGCACTTCCAACTTTAGAACTTGCTGACGAAGGCAACGCTGAGTCTTTTTCACAGGAAGTAGCGCATGCGGGGGTCCTGCTTCATTGCCTGGTACACCGCTCGAACCTGGAACCAGAGAAGAGGCAAAACGCGCACGCGTTTAATGGGCGCCCTTTGTACAGAACTTGCGAAGGTTGATACCAAACCCACCATGACAACTTGCATCCACGTGCCCTTCTGATCCTTACAATCTCACCTGTTCACTGGAGTCCATTCTAACAGGTCCTATTTTGACACTGATGTAACGACCTGTGGCACTCTCCCTGGTTACCACCTGAAGCTGAGGAGAGGGAGCAAGGGGAAAGAATTGGGAAGGGGAAAGCACCAACAATCGAGGCTCTGGTGGGCTGATTCGAGGGCTTTGGAAACAGAGCGGCACCATGGTGGTGGAGATTCACGAGGTTTGGATGGTACACCCACATGAGATATGGGCCATTCCCATGGTTCGATTGGGAAATGATTCATTTGCTGTCCTACCCAGAGCACCACTTGCCAGCCAGCCAACTTTTCAACTCCTCCCCACTTGCGTGCAGCTCAAACCCTCCCCCCAACCCCTTCTCATCACCCACCACCCCTCCTTGCCCACCGGCCTCCCCTCCGCCACCATACAACACCACATCTGCCATATCTCTCTTCTCCCTCCCCTCCCCCCCCGTCACCTCAGGGGTGTCGGTGGGAATGACGGACTGCACGGCCAGCACCATGGCCACAGCAAAGTCGCCTCCCCCCGACCCTATGGCCGTGAACTCACGCAGACTCGGGTATGTGTTCACCTGCCACCCAGGGGGGGTTGGGGAGGAGACGATTGGAGGGGGGGCATTGGAAAGGGACGGGGACGGGTAAAGGACGGGAAGAGGAAGAGCAAAATCAACTGATTCCACCCCGACCAATAGAAGCGCGTGAATACAGAGAAGCCTGGAGTTAAACACTTTTAAAGCTTTCACCCTCTTGCCCTTCCCCACTTCCCTTGTCCACCCATCCCCTCTCGACCACAAATCAAGCCACCCTGACCGGACCACCCCTTCTCTTCCCCAACTTCCATCTCCCCCCTTCCCAAATTGCCTCCTCGCATGCCCACCCTCCCACTGCAGGCAGCGCTGTGGAGCTCCAGGCTCCAGCCAGACGTCTCAGCACTCCACACGGGACAACCTCCTCCTCACTGCTCCCATCCCCGCCCACCCAACCCCTCTCTCGCCCCCTTCCCCCCTGCCCACCCCCCAACACCACACACAACACACAGCGCAGAGCGCGGGGGGCCGCGCGCACCTTCTTGTCGAGCTCGAGCCAGTCGTCGCCGTACTCCGAGGCCGTGCCGCCCAACACCATGTTCGTTGTGCGCGCCTGCCGCCCCGCCATGCGCGACACCTCTGGGGGGGGGGGAGGAGAGAGGGAAGTGATGTGGCAGGGGGGAAGGTGGGGGGGAAGCCAGGGACACAGGCAGCACAGACAGGGCAGGGGGGGTGGGGGGGGTGGGGAGGGGGTTAGGAAGAGGGGGGAAAAAGGGAGGGCGGGCCAAGGGGGAAACGGAGGGAGGGGCGATTGGGGGATTGGATAATGTGGTGAAATGAGTGAGGTGAAATTAATTAGACAGGACGGGGGGAGGAGGGGGGAGGGGAGGGGGAAGGGGGGGGGGGGGTGTTGGAAGGGGGAGGTGGGGGAGTGTAGGAAGAGCGTCCTTTCACCGACCAACCACTACCGCCCCTCCTCCCGCATACATTAGCAGCTGCTTACTAACCCACTTCTCGCGCCACACCCACCACTGACTGCTTTAAGAAGCACATCTTGCGGCGGGCTGCCTTCAGACACCCCGTCGTCACTCTCGCTGTCGCTACTGCTTCCGATGCCACCTCGGGCCCCTGCCACCCGCTCCTCGCTGCTCTCGCTTTCACTGGTGCTGCTGCTGCCGCTATTGCTGTCACTGCCGCTTCGTCTGCTCCCCCTGCCGAGCCGCGAGCTGACCTCGTCCCGCCCATCCCCGCCAATGCTGCCCTCCGCAGACGCGCGCGTCACGAATCTCCGCGCCTCACCGCGCCCTTCCGCTTCCCCCTGCCGCCCCCGCCCCGCTGCGACTCTTCTACCGCATCGCGGAAGACCCTCCTGCGGCAGCTGATGAACGGTCCAGATCGCTTCACTGCTCAGCCTGGATCTCGAGCGCCATCCCGCAAAGCGCGGCGCAAAAGCCGCCGCCGGTATCGGCGACGATGGGATGCTCTTGGATGGTAGGCCAGAGCGAGAGGAGGCGATGGAGGTGTGCGACACAACCAGTGACGCGCGTGCGACAGAGCGAGCGACCGTATGCGACGCGGATGGAATCGCGAGGAAGCACTCCATGAGAGGAGCGAAGCGAGCCAGCGGTGCGCGATGGCGAACGAGCTCTGCGAAAAGACGCGAAAGGAGAGCAGGGGATGCGGCTTCCGGAGACAGATTTGCAAGCGGTTAGAGGTTTGAGCAAGTGGCTCGTTCAGTCTAGAACCAAGCAAGCGGTAGACCAGAGAGCGCGCATCGACTCGCCCAGAGGATAGTTGGGTGAGATGCGACGGCAGAGAGTGTTATTTGCTGGTTACAGTGATCGCAGGCTCTTGGCGCGCCGGGCTTGGGGGACGAGGGCGGCGGGTCGGGTTACCCTGTGTAGCGGCGGCGTGGAGGGAATGACAAAAAAACAGCGAATCGCGTCACGAATTCCTTTGGGAGTACACAATCCGCAGCCCTTTCTGGACCTCGTCCCGGACTCCTTCGGGAGTGTTTTATAAACGTACCTGTTTAGGTGGCGGTGTACATTTCCTTTGGGATGTCATGCCGAACTTTTAGGTCGTGAGGGTAGTTTGTCTTTTTGTGTTCGGCCAAATCAGGCGATGAACAATTCCGCGAGTTTAGGGGTTACCCTCGGATTTTTAGTTGTTAGGTTACTGTTACTCCTGGTGTCCACAAAATGCCGTGCTCGAGTCAGTCCCAATTGGCCTCTCCCTGATGCTCATTCCCGTCCAAATACATTCAGCGCGACTTGCAAACAGTGTGTTCCAGTGTCGGGCTTCAGGTGTACCAGGACTTTGTGCACTGTAGTCACTGTTAGCGCACCGGGAGGAGGGGTTTGTCCCGTTCTGAGCTCGGAAGGGCAATTTAGCATTCATTCTAGTTATTGCGTTTTTTTATACACTCCCAAAGGAATCGGGGACGAGGTCCAGAAAGGGCTGAGGATTGTGTAAGCCCAAAGAAATACGTGACGCGATTAACTGGTTTTTGGTCATTCCCTCGGCAGGCATGAGCTGACGGGGGATGGTGGTGGTGCTGGCCGAAATGCACCGCGCGGGCAGGTTGGGTGACATGGCGGGGAGGCGGGGAATGGGGGTTTGGAAATCGTAGGGGAGGGTTGGCTAGGTGCGGGGAGGGGAACGATGAAGCGCGCCAAGCATATGAGAAATTTGGGACATCAATGACCTTGCCTGGCCATCCTTCGGCACATTGCGGCCAAACTGAGCTGGCGTGGCATGTCGGCGTCGTGACGTCGGGGTTCACGGACACGTGCTGCACGGTGAGTCCGCCTCGTGGATTCGCCAGAGCCACTGGGGAGGCCTGGTGATAAGTGACTTTTGTAACGAGCGGGGACAACACAGGGGGCTCACACTTGGCTCGGCGTGACCTACTTTGTGACAGCTCCGCTTTTGATGCAGTCACTGGACACGAATACACCTCGTGGTGAACACAAAAAAGGTTCCCTTTGTAAACCATGTGTCTCGAGCCATCTTCGCTCTGTACATTTTTTTTGAAGTGTGCATATACCCGTTACAACCTCCTTTCACATACACCGCGCTTCACCAGCACAGCGCAGCAGTCTCGCCGACCCGTGTTGACCATAACCACAGCGTGTCGATGCTACGGAATCCTCACGGGTTATGGCGCCAGAGCAGAAACCAATAAGCCTGTGAGAAGGCTGCCGTTGGTCCGGTAGCTGTAGAATCACGCTTGTCCATCGGGCGATTTCATCCAGGCGCCTCGTGCGACAAACGCACGTGCCAGGTCTGTGCGACGAGCGCGATTCAGCACTCGCCGACCATGTGGCCCGGCGATCGCGGCAGGCTGGCAGCGCCGGCAGCTGGCGGTGCAGCCACGCCAGCAGCAGCAGCCAGCGCGGCGGCAGGCGGCGCAGCAGCAGCAGCAGCGACGGCGGAGGAGGAGGAGTCGATAGTCCCGACGCTGTGCTGCTGCATCTGCACGGAGCTCTTCGAGCAACCCATGGTCGTCTCCTGCTGCGGTACGCCCTGCTTCGCCACTCCCCGCCTGCTGCGGTTTAGCTGCTTCCCCAACGGCCGCGCCTGCTGCTGCTTTCGCTACTCCCTCGTTTGCCCTGCCTGCTGCCGCGCGTGTGCTTGACGACCCGCCACATGTCGCTCGGCGCCTCAGGCAGCTAGTCTAAGAGCGGCAGGGAAAACAGCATGGACGAATGGACGAATGGACGAATGGACGAGGCCGACGGATCCCTTTCTCCCTTACCCGCCTCTCTCTCATTCTCCCATGTTTTATGCCTTCGCTTCTCTCCTCTCTCGCTCCTCTTCTCTCCATGGTATGGCATAACGTGGCATGGCGAGGATGGCATGGCATGGCATGGCGTGGCGTGGCATGGCATGGCGTGGCACACGCGTTCCCCCCATGGCAGGGAACTCCTTCTGCCAGAAGTGTCTGGACACGGCACTTGCCCACTCTGACGCCTGCCCAATGTGTGAGTGCCCCATGTCAGCACTCCTCCTTGTCATCTCCTCGCCACCACCTACTCTTCCCGCTCTCACTCACCCCCTCCTCTCTCATCCCCGTCGCACACTCACCTCGTTCCCAACCCCCGGCCATCCCACTCCTGCCCTCACCACTCTCCAATATTTTCCATCCCTCCCCCCACCCTCCATCTGCCCCGCACCTCCTTAGTGTGCTCCCTCCTTCCCCTTCCCCCCCTTTACAGGTCGAGGGCCATGATCGGGGGCAGTCTATTTTCGAGGCGCCTCAAAAATAGACTCCTCGCGCATGGTTTACTTTACAGGTCGAGTTTTGAGGCGCCTCAAAAGTCGTTACTTTACAGGTCGAGGGCCATGATCGGGGGCATAGACCAGGTTCTCCCAGCCTCGTTCCATCCCCTTCCCACGTTCCTATTTTTGAGGCGCCTCATTTTTTAGGAGTCTATTTTTGAGGCGCCTCATTTTTTAGGAGTCTATTTTTGAAGCGCCTCAAAAATAGACTCCCTTCCCACGTTCCCTCCCCACCCTCCATCTCACACTCACCTCCCTGCACCTCCTCCCCCTTCCTCCCCCCCCCCCCCCTCCCCCACAGGCAGGGCGTCGTTGATCGGGGGGCACAGACCAGGTCGTCCCCAGCCTCGTTCCATCACGTTCCGCTGTCCCCAGTCCCCGCCTCCCCAATGCCCCTCCTTGCACCCTCCTCCCCTTCCCCTCCCCCCACACCCCCCCCCCCCCCACAGGCAGGGCGCCGTTGATCGGGGGCATAGACCAGGTCTTCCCCAACCGCGCGCTGGCCCAGCTGGTGGAACAAGCCAGGTCGCCCCACTCCCCCTTCCAGCCCGCCCTCTCCTCTTGCGCCTGTTCTCTTCCCTCGCCTTTCCCTCCCCCGTTTCCTGGCTCTGTCACCTTGCCATTCAATACTTTCCACTCCTATGGCACTCTTCCTCCTGCCCCTTCTCCTGCATCCATCCGCCCGCTCCCCTTCGTGATATAATAGACGTGTCTTGAGACGACTCAAAGCATGCCACTCGTACTGCCCCTTCTCCTGCACCCATCCTCCTGCTCCCCTTCCCACCTATACCCCTCTCCCTCGGTCGGACCCCTTCCCCTTCTGCCCATCTTCCTGACCCTCCCCTTGACCCCGTTGTCCCTGTTGTGCGTTCCTCGTGGTGTCTTCCCCTGCAGCTCTTTCAACTCCTCCCTTCTGAAGATTCCTCGTTTATCCTCCGCGCCATGACCGTGCCTGCTCTACCTGGCAGGATCATAGGAGTAACACGTCGGCAACGGCTGGCCACGTCAGCAGCTGTTTCTGCTGTTTCTGCCAACCGTGGGACGGACACGTCAGCACCTCATTCTTGCTCACAAGCACAAGCACAGGCACAAGGACAAGCACAGATACATATGCATGCACAGGTGCAGGAACGTGAGGCCGATGCACGTTCAAATGCGCACAGCAACAGCGGCACTCAAGTGAACTCTCAGGACCCCTCACCATCACAGGCGGATCTAGAACGAGAGCCATCCGCCCACTCACATGCTGCTGCTGGTAGCAGTCACGGCTTCAGCAGCAGTGGCAGCAGTAGCATTGGCAGCAGCAGCAGCCACTACACGGGCAGCTTAGAAGGCTATAGAGTAGGTCCGTTGACCAGCCATTTACAATCCACCCCTGCTGCTCCCACTGCCAGCACACCCCCCCCTCATCTCCACTCTCCCCAACGACCCTCTGCCAATGCACCCGTAGTAGATCCAAGGCAGGACCACACTGCTATTTCAATACCTGACTTTGCCCCTGCACAGTTAATCTCATCCGTCCCACTCTCACAGCAGAGCTTACAGCAGGGCCAAGTCAGCCAGCAGCAGAGGGGGGAGGTTTCGGCAGGAGCAGAACCTTCTGGGCTGGATTCGATTCTACCTGACCTGGTGGTGCGGCTGAGTGGCTTCGGTGCAGCGGCACGGGAGGATGAGAGGCAGAGCGCCCAGCAGCAGCAGCAGCAGCTGGGGCAGCAGCAGCATCTGCTTGAGTCTCAAGCGCAGCCCCCGCAGGCACAGGGACAGGAGCACCGCCACCAGCAACGGCAGCAGCACAGGCAGCAGCGGCAGCAGCGGATACAGCAGGTACAGCAGCTACAGCAGGTTCGCTGCTGCCCGTCGCCCTACGCCATGGCAGTGCGGTGCATGCTGGCGTGTGGCGGCAGCGGTCGCAGTGCCCTGCTGGCCTTTGCCCGTGTGCGGCGCTGGTTCCTGGTGAACGAGCCGCGCATCCGCTTCTCGCTCTTCCTCACCATCTCTGCCCTCCTCGTCTTCTACCTGCGGGTGAGCGGTTGTGGGGTGCATGAGCATATATGTGGACGTGCCTGTACACTTAGTGTGCCAGTCAGGTGTGTGTGCCACCTGGGTGTGTGTCTGGGGTGGTTACCGGTTCCTGGTGAACGAGTCGCGCATCCGCTTCTTGCTCTTCCTCACCATCTCTGCCCTCCTCGTCGTCTCCCTGCGCGTGCGTACCTTGAGGTGTCTTAGCTTTAGTGCATTTTTCTCTTTTTTTTTGTTGCACAACTCGCTTCTCACCCTTCTTCACTGCCTCCGCCCTCCTCGTCTTCCACCTATGCTTGCTTGCTTGCCCTTCTGCTTCCGCTCTGGCTTCTTTCCTTATCAACCCTTGTTGCTTGGCTTCCCAACCCCTTGATACTTGGCTTGATGATGCAGGTGCAAGAGGAGGAGTACGCAAGGGTGACCCGATACCCCTAAAGCCACAAGCGTGAGAAGCCCCTTCCTTAGCACAGCCTCCGATACTGGTGGCGGTCTGGGCCTGTTGATAAGACACTGACGGAAGTCTGTGGCACAATCCAGATTGATCATTATGAGAATGGCGGGCGTGGTGAATTGATGGTGATGTGATTATAGTGACAACACTGTCTGTTGCAACTGCTAATTTGGTGCGCGCTCGTGAACTGTTTTGGTATCGATTATCCAACTCCACACGCACCATGGCAACAAGCATGCCAGGGAGAGGTGCTACTGCACGAAGACATGCATTCGTTTAGGCAACAGTCTCAGAGAAATGAAATTAGGTAGAATGAGAGGTACAAGGCAGTTTTGTCTTAGCGGTTGGACTCTCTATGGGACTGAACCTATCTAGCGTAAAACATATGCAATATATGTTTGACACACCCCCTAGGCTAGATTGTTAGGAGGAGCCATGGAGTGGCGTGAGGTTTAGGAAGGAGAAAAGTTGAGGAGAGAAAAGGGAGATGGAATAGAAAGAGAGAGGGATACAAGGAGGGGTGTTGTACCCTCTACAGTAATGTTCAGTAACCTACCAAGCCTAACAATTATATTGTCAAACATGTGTATCTCCTATGTTTGCATAGACTGTATAGGGCCACCTCTTAGAGGGTACAACACTTAGGTATATTCACCTGTACTCTCTCTCTACTCAATCATTCAGTTCTTATTCTAACATGGTATCACGCGTACCCCCTGCTGTTCTGCCCGCTGACCCCACACCCGCTGAGCGCGAGTCTACTGCAGCCACTGCCCTTGCGCGCTGTGTCTGGCTTTCTCGAGACGCTGTCGCTCAGCTTGCCATTAGCAATGCCCTTCCCCCGTCCGAGCGCCCTCGCTTTAGGTCCATCACTACCGCCCAGGCTTACTTAGATGCTGTCATCAAGCGCTATTCCACCCCTCCTGCTGCCTCGGTGGGTCGCCTGATCCTCCCGATGCTCTTTCCCGACCTTGCGTCTTTCCCCACTGTCTCTGACCTAGCTGCCCACCTGCGCTCGATAGATGAGACCTGGCGCGCTGCCTGCACTGACGCACAGCTTAGAGCCCACCAGCCGCCCATTACCTCTACCCTCTACCTGCTTGCCACCCGCCTCCCTGATCGCCTTGCCGCCGCCCGCGACCGCTTCCTTAGCATTCACCCCGGTGAGCTCACCCTCACCGACTTTGTAGACACCCTGGATGTTATTGAGACCCGCCACCGCTCCATCGCCCAGGCGAGTGGTACCGTGCCGGTCCCTATCTTTCAGGGTTGTGCCCCCGCTCAGTGTACCTTCTCCGACGGTTTTGTCGCTGTGGCTGAGACTGCTGCTGCTGCGCAGTTTCGTTCGGGGAAGGGCCGCCGCCCCAAGGCTGGGCGCGGCGGAGGAGGTGGGGGTGCAGGAGGGGGTGGTGGTGGAGTCGGGTCGTCTGGTGCTGGAGCGGACGAGGGGACCCTGCCCAGTCCAGCTGAGCCGCTGCCTCCGCAGTCGCAGCAGCAGCAGCCGCAGCAGTCGCAGCCTCCGTAGCAGCCGCAGCAGCCGCCGCAGACGAGGCAGGCGAGTGTCCTCCCGCCTGGGTGGCCTGGCGCTGGAGGTGGTCGGGCGCGTGGTGGTGTGCCGAGTGGTGGTTCGGGAGGCGTGCGTTGTCAGTACCAGATTCAGACCGGTCCTCGCCGCGGCTTCGTTTGCGGTAAGCTCGGTCATACCTCTCCCCGCTGTTTTCGTCGCCTGGACGACCTGTTTCGTCAGCGCTTCGGCCCGTCGCCAGACCTCCCGGACTGGCACATTTTGCTTAGTCGTAGGATTCAGATTTTTGACATGGACATGGATGCCATTCTTTCTGCTCTGCATGTGATGTATGCTGATGACTCTAGTGCGCTTCCTGCTTATTACTCACTGTCGTCTAGTGTAGGTGTGCCTAGCTTAGCCTCCCCTGCTGCGTCAGGCGTAGGATCCCCTGCTTTGTTTAGCCTTGGTGCTTCCGCCGTCGCCCCGTCGCCAGACGCCTCTGCTTCGCTTTCCTTCACCTTGGACTCTGGCGCTTCCCAGTGCTTCTTCCGCGACTCTACTTCACTGACGCCGCTTCCTGTTCCTGCTGCCATTTCTCTTGCTGACCCCTCCAGCGGTCCGATAGTCGCCCGCAGTTCCACCACCCTTCCCTGTACGGCAGTTCCTTCGGGCTCTCTTACAGGTCTGCATATCCCCTCGTTCTCCAGGAACCTAGTTCGTGTCGGCTGCCTCCAGGACCTTGGCGTCACCACTACGTTCCCTGGTCACGAGCGGTATGCTGTCTGTACCGAGGCCGCCACTGGTGCCCCCCTGTCCACGTTCCCCCGGGACCCGGTGTCCGGCCTGTTCACTCTGGACACCGTGACCCCCCCGGCAGGGGCGCCCCCTCAGGTGGTTGTGTCTACCCAGGTTGCTGCTGCCTGCTCCTGTCGGTCCCTCACTCACCCGACTCTCCTTTGGCACCACCGCCTAGGTCACCCTGCGCTCCCGCGTCTGCGTCACATGTCCCAGCACGGTCTCGTCCTTGGTCTCCCTAGTTCTCTCCCCGCTTTTCCCTCCTCCCCAGCCCCACCTTGCACGCCTTGCGTCGAGGGTCGGCTTCGCCGTGCCCCTCACCCCTCCTCGTTTCCCCCTACCGCCGCGCCGCTGCAGACCCTGCACATGGACGTCTGGGGCCCCGCCCTCCGTCCATGGGCAACGTTGAGAGCGCTACTTCCTTGTGCTTGTCGACGACTTCACTCGCTACACCTCGGTCTTTCCCCTGGAGTGGAAGGCCGACGTGCCTGCCGCTCTCATCCCCTGGCTTGTCTCTGCCCGTGTCCACCGAGTTCTCCCTGTCTTGCGCCTTCACTCCGACCGTGGTGGCGAGTTTGCCTCTGGTGTCCTTGGTCGCTTTTGTCGTGCGGAGGGCATCACCCAGACGTTCACCCTACCGGACTCCCCACAGCAGAATGGGGTCGCTGAGCGACGCATCGGTTTGGTCATGGAGGTGGCTCGCACCTCCATGATCCATGCCGGTGCACCCCATTTTCTGTGGCCGTTCCCTGTGCGCTACGCTTCTCACCAGCTTAACCTGTGGCCGCACCCCCAGCAGCCGCAGGTTTCGCCGACCCGTCTTTGGACTGGGTCTCCTGGTGATGCATCTGCGTTCCACGTCTGGGGCTGCCTTGCTCACGTCCGTGCCTCCGGCACGGACAAGCTCACTGCCCGCACCCTTCCCTGCGTCTTCCTCGGTTTTCCCCTTGACGCGTCCGACTGGTACTTCTACCACCCGCCGTCTCACCGCTTCTTTCACTCTCGCGACGTCACCTTTGAGGAGTCCGTCTCCTACTACCGTCGCTTCCCCCACCGCGGTCCCCCGGTTACCCCCCCCCTGTTCCTGGTCACTCCTTCCCTGGTAGTCCCTGCCCCTCCCCCTCCTCCTCCCCGTCCTGCCCCCTCTGGTGTGTCCCACGTCACCCCTCTTCCGTCGGTGGTCCCGGTTGAGGAGTCTTCTGACTCTGGTGGTCCTGCGGCGCAGTCCTCGCCGGCCGCCCCTCCCCAGGCGTCCCCTCCTCCACCGCCTCTGCCGCCGCTGTCGCCCTTCCTGTCGCAGCCGTTGTCACCTCCGCCGCAGCCGTCGTTGTCGCTGCCGCCGTCGCAGCACCCGTTTGTTGACTCTGGGGGTGCTGGCGTTGGAGTGCGTGCTAGTCCCGGTAGCTCTGGGGTTGGTACCGGTCCTCGAGGGGTTTCGGGCCCTGGAGGTGTTCCCTCTGGGGGTGCTGGTGTGGAGTGTGCCGGTGGTAGCCGAGGAGCAGCTTGCGGTCCAGGAGTCGGCATTGTGCCGCCCCAGCAGCAGTCCCCGCCGGTGTCAGCCCTTCGCCTGCTCGGCCTTCCGTCCCCTGACCCTGCGTCTGTTCCTCTCCGACCGTCTCCTCCTCTTCCCGTCTACGGCCCTGTGTTCCCTCCGCCGGACTCGTCCCCGGCCCGTCTTCCCCCTCGTTCCCCTCCTGTGTCCCCTCCCCTGTCTCCTGACCCGACTCCTCCGTCTCACATCTGGTCTCACCGTCCCTCCTGTGCTCGTCCTGCCTCCCCTATCTTGCGCTCCCACCCTATGTTGCTTCGTTCCCACGCGTCTCGTCCTCCCCTTCTCCCGTCGCCTCCTCCGTCCTCCCTTGTTGTTGCACCCCCCCCGCTGTCTGATTACCTTCGTGCCACTCGTCCTCTTGTTCCTCGGGACCTTGGGCCTCGCAGTGGATAGTTGCCATGGAGCAGGAGATGGCATCTTGGAGATCCACCGGCACCTTCGTCGACGCAGTTCCCCCGCCTGGGGTGAACGTAGTCGATGGCCGCTGGCTCTTCAAGGTGAAGCGTCCTGGAGAGCCGCCTCTGTTCAATGCGCGATACGTGGCTAGAGGCTTCAGTCAGCGTGAGGGGGTGGATTTCTTCCAGACCTTCGCTCCGACCCTGAAGATGACTACTCTTTGGGTTCTGTTACACCTAGCTGCTCAGCGTGACTACGAGCTTCACTCCCTCGACTTCTCCACTGCCTTCCTTCAGGGCAGCCTACACGAGCAGGTCTACTTGCGTTGCCCTCAGGACTTTACTGGCACCTTCCCTCCTTGGACCCAGTGGCTCCTTCGGCGCCCCGTCTACGGCCTGCGCCAGGCTCCCCGTGAGTGGCACGACATGCTACGTGCTACCCTTACTGACCTGCAGTTCTTTCCGTCTTCCGCAGACCCCTCACTCTTCGTTCGTGCTGGCCAAACTGCGTTCTACATCCTTGTTTACGTCAACGACCTGGTCTTTGCCACAGCAGACAGGGACGCACTGGCCTCAGTGAAGGCAGAGCTGCTGAAGAGACACACCTGCACTGACCTTGGAGAGCTTCGCCGTTACCTTGGCTTGCAGATCTCCAGGGACAGAGCATCGCGCACCATCACCCTGACTCAGTCACACTTGGTGCGCCAGGTCCTTCAGAGGTTCGGCCTTCAGTTCTCCTCTGCACAGCCCACCCTTCTGCCTGTAGACCACAGACTCTCCGCTCCAGTTTCTGAGGAGTCGGTAGAGCCCAGCGGCCCCTACGTAGAACTGGTGGGTTGCCTCATGTACCTGATGACTTGCACTCGCCCAGATCTCGCATACCCTCTCAGCATCCTGGCTCGCTTTGTGGCCACAGGCAGACACCGACCGCAGCACTGGTCTGCCGCTAAGAGGGTTTTGCGTTATCTTGCTA